GGGGGGGGGGGGGAGGCGGAGCTGGCCCGGCCACCTTCCCCTTCCATGCAGGATCCAGAAGAGCATGCTGCTGGACCTCAACAAGGAGATCATGAACGAGCTGGGCGTGACGGTTGTTGGGGACATCATCGCCATCCTCAAGCACGCCAAGGTGGTGCACCGCCAGGTGGGTGTGCTGCTGCAGCGCCAGCAGTAGACCTGGTGCCAAGGCCGGGTCAGCTGTTTGCTGTGTGCCACAGGCATGTCACCTCACCTCTGTGACTTATTTTCTCTGTTCAGAGAGCATGTCTATTGTGAAAGGTGTTTTTGAGTATTAAGTGGACAGGCACAGGCAAAACTGCTAGAATCTGGCCTCAAGAAACGTTCTCTGTAATTATGATCGTTGCTGACTCTTATTTTCCTCATTCTGATTGTCACCTGCCTCCCTGGCCTTCTCTGTCCAGGCAGGAGTTTGTGCTGTGGGACTGGGGTGACATCCTGACCCTTCCAGTATGGCTTCTCCATTTGTCATAGTGACCCACCTCCCCACACCTCTGAATAGGCTGCACACCCTGCATCGGGTGCTGGTGTCTTTACCAGAGATCATGTGGCCTGGAGGGAGGTCCTTACTGAGTACCTGCGAGGTATGGGGTGCTATCTCTATCCGCTGCACACAAGAACTCCTTGATCCCTTAGGACTCCGCTGGCCCCAGCAAAAGACTTGCTGCAGAGCTGAGCTCTCAGGACCCTGCTTTATCCCTATATGGTTTCTGATTCCTTCTAGTAGCTTCTTCTAGCTCAGGCTTAGGCCTTGAGCTGTCCATCCTATGGACAGGATTCCTCAGTAATGCTTCCTCAAAGAGGGATATTAGCTCAGTGGAAAGGGCAATGTGCCAAACGTTCTTTTTTTCTGTAAGCTTTTTGTTTTTATTTATTTTTTTGTCATGGGGCCTGAACTCTGGGCCTGGGCGCTGTCCCTCAGCTTTTCAGCTGAATCAGCTGAAGGATAGCACTCTACCACTTGAGCCACAGCGCCACTTCTGGCTTTTTCTGCTTATGTGGTTCTGAGGAATTGAACCCAGGGCCTCATGCATGCAAGGCAAGCACTCTACCACTAAGCTACCTTCCCAGCCCCTTGTTTTTAATTTTTTGTGGTAAGCATGCTGGGGCTAGAACTCAGGGCCTCCTACATGCTGAGCAAGTGCTCTACCAACAAACTCCTTTCCCGGCCCCCTGTTTGTTCTTTAAACTTTTACGGGTGTGTGTGTGTGTGTGTGTGTGTGTGTGTGTGTGTGTTCCTGAAGCTTGAACTCAAGGCCTGAGTGCTATCCATGAACTTTTTCACTCAAGACTGGCTCTCTATCACTTGAGCCACAGTTCCACTTCCAGCTTTTTTTGGTAGTTAATTGGAGATAAGAGGCACAGATTTTCCTTGCCTGGGCTGGCTTTGAACCATGATTCAAAGTCTATTTTCATTGTCCTTTCCTTGTTTCAATAGTCTTGACCATTTTGGTTATAGGGATGGAGACCAAACCTAGGGCTTTGAGATTGCAGGGCAGGCTCTCTGCCACTGGCTGCCTTGACAGTTTTTTTTTTGTTGTTGTTGTTGTTCCCCACGTGCCCCCTCCTTCCCCGCAGTGGCCTGGGCACTGTCCCTGAGCTTTTGTGCTCAAGGCTAACGCTCTACTACTTTGAGCCATAGCTCTACTTCTACTTTTCCGGTGGTTAATTGGAGATAAGAGTCCCATGGAGCCGGGCACTGGTGGCTCCCGCCTGTCATCCTAACTACTCAGGAGGCTGAGATCTGAGGATTGCAGTTCAAAGCCAGCCCTGGCAGGGAATTCCATGAGACTCTTATCTCCAATGAACCACCAGAAAACTGGAAGTGGCGCTGTGGCTCAAAGGGGTAGAGTGCTGGCCTTGAGCAAAAGAGCTCAGGCATAGTGCCCAGGCCCTGAGTTCAAGCCCTAAGACTACCAACAACAAAAATTAATCTCTTACACTCTCCTGTGCAGGCTGGCTTCAAACCATGATCCTCAGATCTCAGCCTCCTGACTAGTTAGGATTATAAGGATGAACCACCATTGCCCTGCCCCTTGACAGTTTTAAAGTTCTGCTCAGATATTTCAGGGACCATCCCTTTGTTTCTGGGTACGTGATACTTTCCTCTGGTCAGGAGCAAGATGGTTCATGCCTGTAATCCCTGCCCTCAGGAGGTAGAGGCCAGCCAGCTGCATAGCAAGTTTGAGGTTAGGCTGGGCTATTCACTGCGACCTCTGATCTCATCTCCAAAAAACAAAATGGGTCAATGCTGCTTCTTTGGTGTTGGGTTTCTGACCCTCCAACTGCTGCCCAGATCTCCAGTCCCCATTCCTCTGGCTGACCCTATTCCTATTTTTCATAGGACATATGCAAAGCTGCCACGGAGTCGGTGCCCTGCAACCCCAGCTCCCTCTCAGGCGAGCTTCGCCGTGCCGCCTCTAGCGGTGAGTGTTGTATGTCCAGAACCTCCTCCTTCATGGCCCTGGCAGGAACAGGGAAGGCACTTTTGTTTGTCCCATCCTGTGGTTTGCACAGGTAGAAACAAAGCCACCTGAGGCCCTCCTTCCCAGGGAGACAGTAGACTGGGCAGCAAGTAGCCATTGTCTGTCATCTGTCTGTCTGTCTGTCTGTTTCTGTACTAAAGATTGAACTCAGGGCTTTGCGCTCACTCCCAATCCATGTGTGTTTTTTTTTTTTTTTGGGGGTCGTGGGGCTTGAACTCGGCCTGGGGGCTGTCCCTGAGCTCTTCAGCTCAAGGCTAGCGCTCTACCACTTGAGCCACAGTAGTGGTTTATTGGAGATAAGAGTCTCACAGTCTTTCCTGCCCGGGCTGGCTTTGGGCTGGCTTTGAACTGTGATCCTCAGATCTCAGCCTCCTGAGTAGCTAGGATTACAGATGTGAGCCACCAGCGCCTGGCCATGTGCTTGTTTTTGTGCCAGTTCTGGGGCTTGAACTCAGGATCTGTCCCTGAGCTTTTTTGCTCAAGGCTGGTGTTCTGCCACTTGAGCCACAGCTCCACTTCTGACTTTTTTGGTGGTTCATCGAAGATAAGAGTCTCATGGACTTCCTTGCCCAGGCTGGCTTCAAACCTCTATTCTCAGATCTCAACCTCCTGAATAGCTAGGATTATAGGTGTGAGTCACTAGCACCTGGCTTTTTTAAAAATCATTTTTCGAGATGGGGTATTTTGTTGTGTAGCCCAGGCTGGTCTTAAACTCTTAACTGCAAATGACCCTCCTACTTCAGACTCCTCAGTAGCTGGTACTACAGGTGCTCACCACTATGCCTGGCAAAACTGTGGTTATAAACACAGACATTTATTCCTTATGATTTTATGGGTTGGCTTGTTATTTGGGCTCAGAGCCAGCTCTGACATCTCTGGGATCTCATGGATCCCAGTGGTCCCATGGCAGCTGAATTAAGGTTGGATGATCAGTGATGGCTCCATTCACAGGTCTGGTAACTTTGTTATTTGGGCCTACAGAGGTGACTTGGCCAGTGCTACTTGTTGCACAGCAGGCTAGCCCAGGCATGTGCCCACTGCAGTGGTCTCCGTAATAGCAGGCCCCAGTGCTCAAAGCCCCTTGCATAGTATTTGCTCTTTTTTAATTGTCAAGAGAAGTCATGTGGCTGAGCTCCATCTATGTGGGCCAGAGCAACCCAAAGGCATGGATGTGGGGAAATGGAGCCAATCAGGGCTCATTTCCACAGCATCCATAGCACAGCCCCAGGAAAGGATTCCACTATGGTGAATGGCTTTCCAGTCATAGGACACTCCATGCAGCCCCATGCTCACTGACCCCAAGTTCCAGTTCTTCCTCCTGGGAGCACACCCAATCAGAGCATTGCTGTCCTTCCCTGCAGCTGCCTCCCGAATGATCGCCAACAGCCTGAACCGAGACTCCCCGCCCAGCACTCCCCCCAGGCGGCCAGACACCAGCACCTCCAAGATCTCTGTCACTGTGTCCAACAAGATGGCTGCGAAGGGTGCCAAGGCTGCCGGTGAGGAGGCAGGCTGTGGGGGAGGAGCTGGAGAATATAGATGCAAAGGTTTTGATGGTGGGGGTTGTGTTCCCCATACCCTAGGTGTGTGGAGTATGTGGGCCTGAATTACCTCTGAATTCGGCCATCATCTCCACCCTGGGAGCCTCCCCTTCCTGGTGGTTCAGGCCCCATGACTGACAAAAAAGTAAGAGTCTCAGACTTTTCTGCTGGACTGGCTTTGAATGTGATCCTCAGATCTCAGCCTCCTGAATAGGATTATAAGTGTGAATCACTGATGCCCATCCTGGAATTTTTGTGTGTGTGCCAATATCTGAGTTTGAACTCAGAATCTCTTGCTCAAGCTTCCTTGCTCAAAACTGGCATCCTACCACTTGAGTCATGCCTCCAGTCTGCCATTTTGCTACTTAATTGGAGATGGAATTACAACAAATTTTCTGCCCTTGCGGGCTTCCACAAGTAGTCCCCTAGGTCTCCTCCTGAGTAACTAGGATAATAGGAGTGAGCCACTGTGCCCGGCTTGTTTAATTGAAGTGTAAAACCAGATGTGGTAGCCCAAGTCTGTAATCCCAGCCCTTGAATCTGAAATGTTCCAGGCTAGCCTGGGATCGCAGTTAGTTCAAGGACAGACTGGGCTGAAAAACAAGCAAGCCCTTTGCTATTACAAAGAAAAGGGCACCCTTCTGCCTGGCAGCAGCTATTAAGTAGGCTGGGGCAGGGGAGTCTAGTAAAAAAAGCATAATTTATAATTTACTTTTTCACCCTGGATAGTCGCTTTTTTTTTTCTTTTTTCTGGTAGGGGGAATAAACCCAGGATGTTGCACTTGCTAGGCAAGTGCGTTGCCAGTTACATGCCAACCACTGTAATTTCCAAATGGAAATTATTCAGCTTGATTACTTGTTAAAAACTGAGCATTTAAAAAAAATAAAATAAAATAAAAAGTGAGCATTTAAAAAAGAGAGAATGGGAGAGAAAGAGAAGAAAAAAAAGTGTAGCTGTGAAAGTGGTACTTGTGGTGTTCTAGAACCTTCCCACTATCCAGTGAGTTCCTTGTGTAAAGAGATTAGGCTGGACCCTGGTGGGCCACAGACAGCCTGAGATCCCCAGAGCTTCCTGTGACCTCATCCAGGCCTGGGAGCTCCTGGCTATGTCAGGGCTGTAGGATAAGGGGTTCCGGTCAGGCACGGGTAGAGATGAAGGGCAGCAGTGTGCCCTCTGCCAGTGCCAGGAGAGCGGCCTATCCCGGTGGGTGCTGACCTTGTCCATGTCTCCCCACCGCAGCTCTGGCCCGCAGGGAGGACGAGAGCCTGGCTATTCCTGCCAAGAGGCGCCGGGTCACTGCGGAGATGGAGGGGAAGTACATCATCAACATGCCCAAAGGCACCACCCCCCGCACCCGCAAGATCCTGGAGCAGCAGCAGGCCGCCAAAGGTACTGGCCTGGGGTGCACATGGCATTGTGCGCATGCTCAGGGCACGCTGGCCGGCATTGCAGATGGCTTCTCCACCCCTCGTTCCTGAGGGCGGGGCATGGAGTCTGGGAGGGCTTTCATTTTTATGCCAATTCTGGGGCTTAAAGTCAAGGCCTGTCACTTGCTCACAACTGTCTCTACTCCCTGAGCCATACCTCTAGCTTTTTGCTGGTTATGTGGAGATGGCGTTTCTTGGACTTTATTGCCTGGGTGAGCTTTGAACTATGATCCACCTGTTCTCAGCCTGAAGAGTAGTTAGTTAGGATCACAGGCATAAGCCACCAGTTCCCAGCAAGATTTGTGTTTTACTTAGGGAAAGCACTCATGATCAGATCTTCAGAGGCTGTGTCCCCAACGTAAAAGGAATAGGAGGGGCTGGGACGATGGCTCAGTGGTAGAGTACTTGGCTCCCATGCATGAGGCCCTGGGTTCAATTCCTCAGCACCACATAAACAGAAAAAGCGGAAGTGGTGCTTGGCTCAAGTGGTAGAGCACTGCCTTGAGCTGAAGAGCTCAGAGATAAGGCCCAGGCCCAGAGTTAAAAAAAGCCCCACGACCGACCAAAAAAAAAAAAAGGAGTAGGATTTAGAACCCCCACCCCCATTTCATGAACTTGTACTAAGGTACTGGGAATTTGCAGTATCAATTTGAGTTGATCTTTGGCATTTGACATTAGCCAGTGAGGAGGCAAAACTTGACCATCCCTGCTGGGGCTGAGTGACCGGTGGCGGTGCCAGCTGTGCAATCCCTTAGTATCTGCACCCGGGACCCCAAGAAGGGCTCACAGTGCTCCCTGATAGTTTCATTCTCTTCCCAGGTCTCTATAGGACATCTGTGTTCGACCGCCTTGGCGCTGAGACCAAGGCAGACACAACCACAGGAAGTAAGGTGAGTGGCATGGAGAAGTGACTGCCCTGGACATCTCTGCCCTCTCCCCGCACCTGCCCTGGCCCACCTCCCAGCCCCACTTCTCTTCGTTGCTCTGGTGGCTTTCCTGGCTCTCTGATCACTACTAGGTTTCCTCCCTGCAGCTACCCCTTTCCTGAGGCCCAGCTCAGGGTGCCCACCTTCCCACACCAATTCCTGAGTCTGAGGATTCCATGTCCAGCTCCACCACCCTCCCTCCTTGGAGAGGGCGGTGACCTCTTGATCAGTCCCCACAGCTGCCACCACTGCAGGAGCATGTGCTGTTGTGCTGTAGTAGACAGCTGTCCTCCTCCCCCTCAGAGACCCAAGGCTTTTCTGTGCCTACTATGAAATTCACACTTCTTGCTGGGGCCCCGGAGCCCACTGGCTGTCTGGGTGACCATGGCCAGGCATTTAAATCCTTATGCCTATTTCCTCAGATCAGGCAGGTACATGTGAGAGGGGGCATCTTGGGGGAGGTAAGCGCACCTTAGATGCTACCTTTGAGGGACTCTATAGAACATTTCCTTCCTGCCAATCACCAGCGCACGCTCTGCCTCTGTCCCGCCTCCCACAGTGACATGGCAGCCATGTGGAAGCACTCAGGGGAGGGGCTGTGTCCTAGTGAGTAGTGAGTGTTCATTAAGTCTGATTCCCCTGGAGGGCCTGGCCGTCCCTTTCTTCCCTGTCTCCCACCCTCAGATCTCTCTCTGTTCACACTCCTTGAAGAATACACCGCTGTCTGACAGAAGCACTGGTGGTGTCGTGTCTGGTTCCATGCCTGACTCCCTACTGGACCGTAAGCCCCTGAGGGCAGGCTAAGGCCGTCCTGGCCATCTCTAGGTCTCTAGCCTGCCCAGCCTAGGACAGAGTGCAAAGTCAGGCTCACCAGATGACCGAAGGCATCTTTGTCTCTGTGCTGTCCTACAGACCTGGCCACTGTCTTCCCTCTGCGTGGCACATGCTGTCCCCCCATGCCCACATGAGCCCACTTCCTCTGGCTCTCAGAGCTCAGTAGCTGTGCTCTTTGTCAGGGAACCTTCCGATCTGCCAGGCCAGCTCCCTGAGTCCCCCATCACGGTCCTCACCACTGTCTCAGTTGTCACCCATGGCTGTTCCCCCTCCACTTGCCCCCTGTGTGGAGGAGGAGGTGGTAGGTTGAGTGACTCGGGCCTCTCTGATGACAGCCCACAGGAGTTTTCAGCCGCCTGGGGGCCACCCCAGAGATGGATGACGATCTGGCCTGGGACAGCGACAATGACAGCAGCAGCTCTGTCTTGCAGTATGCTGGGGTCCTGAAGAAGCTGGGGCGGGGCCCAGTGAAGGCCAGTCCCCAGCCAGTCCTGCCCGTCAAAGCCAAGGCCACAAGCTCCAAGGCAACAGTACCCACTGCCCCAACGCTGCGGCGCCTAGCGCTCTCCTCACCTCCCAGGCTCGAGAAGAAGTCGGAGTCCCTGGCCAAAGTGAGCATCATCCACAGACTGGGCAAGGCTGCCCCAGTGCCCGAGGCCCAGGACAGCCAAGTCACCAGCACCAAGAGTAAGTCATCAGCCAAGGTGAAGGTCACCATTAAGAGGACTCCGGTGGGGCCCCGGGGAAGCAGTTCCAGCGAGGGCCTTGGTGCCCAGATGGATCACACAGGCACCGTGAGCGTGTTCAAAAGACTGGGCCACAGGACCTTCTAGCCCACGTGGAGGGTGGGAGAGGGGGGCGGGCTCCCTGGTCCCTCCTCCTGCTGATTCTGGACAACATGGCTGGGCTGAGCCCTCTGCTCTGGGATAGTCACTGTGGCTGGACCTCACCTGCTCTGGGATGGCCCCTTCTCTCCTGTCCTCTGCCCTCCCCCATGGCCTTGGCAAGACCCTGCTTTTCTACCTCTCCCTAGCACCCTCCCCTCTCAGCTGCCCCAAACTCCCTCTCCCTATTCCTCGTCCACAGAGACTTCACCCTAAGGTCCCCTCATATCACCCCCCCACACACTTACTTCCCTTACCCCTCTAGCCTCCCTTCCTCTCTTCACTCTTTCATTTCTCTTCTGTTTTCTGTCCCGGTGGCAAGGCCCGACTCTCCGCTGCATCCTGCCCGACCCTCCTGCGCCTCCGGCCTCTCAGCGACCCCCTCGCCGACGCTGGCGTTGAGCCTGTTGAGACTCTTAGCTGTCCCTGGGCTGCTGTGGGGTACCTGGGTGTGTTTTCCTCTCAAAAGCCCTGCCCGGGACTGGTGGGCAAGGGGGTATCACAGGGGAGACTGATCGGAGAGAGAAAACAATGGCGTTTTAATATATTTTTTGTGACTTCCCATCTGTTTCCCTCCCCTCCTTGGGGTGAGAGGCAGGTCAGGTTTTCACACCAACACAGTGCTGGGGTTGCAGGGGCGGGGCGGGGGGTGTCACTGGCTAAGTGACGGGGCTGGATCTCGAAAAGCTGAGTTCCTGCACACACTCAGGCCCCATCTCCATTCTGTTAAGCCACCTCCTCCCCCTACAAACAGAGCTGTCACTCTGCCACCTCCCATCCTGTTTCTGTCACTCTGCCTGTTGTTCCTACCTGGGCTCCATTTGTGAGCACTGATGGGTCCACTCTCGCTCCTTGCTCTCAGCAGCCACACTTCTGTCCTAGAGACTGCCATGGGCAGGGCAGGCCAGGCCTCCCCCTCCCCCCCCC